GTGTGTGTGTGTGTGTGTGTGTGCGTGCGTGCGTGCGTGCGTGCGTGCGTGCGTGCGTGTGCGTGCGTGCGTGTGTGTGTGTGTGTGTGTGTGTGTGTGTGCACGCTTACATGCACTCCGCTGCCCTCTCCTGCACCCCACCCTTCCACTCTCCCACCAGGTGTCTGGCACTCTCTCCTTCCCCATCCAGGATGGCCCACGCAGATGTCTCGAGGTGCGTCGCGCTCGTTTCTCTCTGTGTGCGCTCGTCTGCATGCCAGCGTATGGGCATGCGGTCGTGTGTGCGTAACCAAAAAATACCACCTCTGTGTGTTGTGTGCGCATGCCTTTTATTTATTCGGCCACACATGAGCACGGGACCAATGGCAGGTGCTTTGTTGCTCTGCCGCTCCCATGTTTCCTTCCACCCCCACCATGCACATCTCACGCTCCTCTTCGATTCGACCCTCCATTAGTCCGGAAAATGAATGCCCTACTTATCGTCCTCCCTTTCGCACGACGTCATGCTGCCACTCCTTTCCCTAACCTGCCTCTCCCCACACTCCAGATCAACCCCCAATCCCTCAGCACAGCGTTGCCACATCTCTTCCTCCCTTCACTTCTCCCACCTCTCTCTCTCTCCTGCCTTCTCTCCCTCGCTAGGTGTCAATGCTGCTGGAGATGTATGAGGTGATCAACTCCCACAGGAGGCAGGTCATGCTTGTCTTTCATTGTGTTGGGTTTGATTCTTCCATCTCTCCCTCTCGCGTCCTCTCTCCCCTGCCTCCCTGCCCCACAAGGTGCCCGCGCTGCTGAAGACGCACGAGGTCATCAACCCCCTGTTAGAGGCATGCAAGGCCTTGAACCCCTGTTAGAGGCATGCAAGGCCTTGAACCCCTGTTAGAGGCATGCAAGGCCTTGAACCTTTGCCTGCCACAGTGTTGGGTTTGTTTCCTCTGTGTCTGTGCTGCTGGGGATGCATGACGTCTCTCCCCTGCCTTCTCGTCCCCATGCTCACCACACCAGGTGCCAGTGCTACTGGACCCGCATGAAGTGATCCACCCTCATTTCATTGTGCTGCCATTCTTCCAACCCACGTCGCCGTTTCGCCTTCTCCCCACCAGGTGTCGGTGCTACTGGAGATGCACGAGGTCATCAACCCGCGCGCCCTCCACACGTCCAGGAGAGTGGCTGCTGCTGCCTCCGCTGCTAAGGTAACCCGCGCTTTGCTGTGCTTGCATGCATGTTTCACACGTGTATGTATGCACCCACGTGTATGTATGCTTGCGGATCTCCATGCATGTATGCACACATGCATGCGGACCTCCATGCATGTATGCACACATGCTTGCAGATCTCCATGCATGTATGCACACATGCATGCGGACCTCCATGCATGTATGCACACATGCATGCGGACCTCCATGCATGTATGCACACATGCATGCGGACCTTCACGCCTGTATGCACACATGCATGCGGACCTTCACGCCTGTATGCACACATGCATGCGGACCTCCATGCATGTATGCACACATGCATGCGGACCTCCATGCATGTATGCACACATGCATGCGGACCTTCACGCCTGTATGCACACATGCATGCGGACCTTCACGCCTGTATGCACACATGCATGCGGACCTCCATGCATGTATGCACACATGCATGCGGACCTTCACGCCTGTATGCACACATGCATGCGGACCTTCACGCCTGTATGCACACATGCATGCGGACCTCCATGCATGTATGCACACATGCATGCGGACCTCCATGCATGTATGCACACATGCATGCGGACCTCCATGCATGTATGCACACATGCATGCAGACCTCCATGCATGTATGCACACATGCTTGCGGATCTCCATGCATGTATGCACACATGCATGCGGACCTCCATGCATGTATGCACACATGCATGCGGACCTCCATGCATGTATGCACACATGCATGCGGACCTCCATGCATGTATGCAAACATGCATGCAGACCTCCATGCATGTATGCACACATGCATGCGGACCTCCATGCATGTATGCACACATGCATGCGGACCTCCATGCATGTATGCACACATGCTTGCGGATCTCCATGCATGTATGCACACATGCATGCGGACCTCCATGCATGTATGCACACATGCATGCGGACCTCCATGCATGTATGCACACATGCTTGCGGATCTCCATGCATGTATGCACACATGCATGCGGACCTCCATGCATGTATGCACACATGCATGCGGACCTCCATGCATGTATGCACACATGCATGCGGACCTTCACGCCTGTATGCACACATGCATGCGGACCTTCACGCCTGTATGCACACATGCATGCGGACCTTCACGCCTGTATGCACACATGCATGCGGACCTCCATGCATGTATGCAAGGCCATAGCACCTCCTTTAAGCCTGCTCCCTTCATGTTTGCATTTGCACTCCCCTCGTCTCACCGCCTCTACACATCTATTTTCATCCCCTCTCCCCCGATACCTCCATCACCCCACAATCTCCCCCTGGGCTCTTTTCCTCGGCCACAACCCCTCCCCCCGCCACATTTTCTGCCCTTCCTTCCGTTCCGCCCTCCCCCCACTCCTCGCCCCCACACCCTCTTCTGCCCCCTGCCCTCCTCGCCCCCACACCCCTCTTCTCCTGCCAGTGCTGCAGATGGAGCACCACGAGGGGACAGTCGACCCATCCCACACGCACTTCATCTTCACCACCCATCCCCTTGTATTGGGATGGCTTTGAGGTGCCTTAGAAACCCTCTCCTGCCCCCTCCCCTCCCGCCCCCAGACCCCTCTGCACCTGCCAGTGCTGCAGATGGAGCATCACGCATGAGGTGACAGTGGGTCTGCGTTACACACACTTCATCTTCACCCTTTCCCTCACCTCCACTGTGCCGCCCTTCCCTTTCCCTCCCGGCCTCCAGACCCCTCTACACCTGCCAGTGCTGCAGATGGAGCATCACGCATGAGGTGACAGTGGGTCTGCGTTACACACACTTCATCTTCACCCTTTCCCTCACCTCCACTGTGCCGCCCTTCCCTTTCCCTCCCGGCCTCCAGACCCCTCTACACCTGCCAGTGCTGCAGATGGAGCATCACGAGGTGACAGTGGATCTGCTCCACACGCACTTCATCTTCACCATCCCCTCCGATGCTGCCGCCTCCTTTGCCACGCCCATCATCTCCCTGCAGGTAGGCCGCCCATTAAAAAAAAAAAAAAAAAAAAAAAAAAAAAAAAAACGGTTTGGTTTGGTCAAAACAAAAGGCCTGAAAAGGTTTTACCAAACCCGTTTGGGTTCGGTTCGTGCTCAACCGTAGCCCATCATCTCATTCCAGGTGGGTACCCCAAGGATTGCGCAGATAGCCCAAGGATTGCCCAGATAGCCCAAGGATTGCCCAGATAGCCCATGCATGTCCATCATCTCACGGGCACCTCTGGCACAGTAGATGCATCCCCTCCTCCCCTTCCCCCCTCTTCCCCTCCTCTCCCCTCGCCAGTGGATTTTACGGTTTGAGTTGTGTGCGTCCACCAGGCTCCCCCTTACTCCCTTCAGCCCTTTCCTCCCCCGTTGCTGCCCCCTGGTCACCCCCCCTCATCCTCCCCCCACCAGTGGATCCTTCGGTTTGAGTTCTGTGCCTCCACCAGGCGCCCACCACCACCCGGCAGCACCCCTGGCAGTGCGAGCAAGGGCAGGCAGCAAGCACAGCAACAGCAGCAGCAGCAGCTGCACGAGAGGCCACATGCGCTGGCCATGGGGGCGGAGACGGAGAGGGGCGAGTGGTCCATGCCCATCACCGTGCACGCCCCACTGCCTAAAGTGACCCGTAAGTGACAGTGCTGCTGGCTGGTTTCCCCAGCTTGCTTGTGCGAGTACTGGGCCCCTCGGGGTGAAACCCACATGCACTGGCCATGGGGGAAAAGATGGAGGAGAGTGAGTGGCCCATGCCCATCACCGTGCACGCGCCGCAGCCTTAAAGAACATGCGAGTGACATTGCCGTCGGCTAGTATTCCCCGCGTGCTTGTGAGGGCGATGGTGGAGTGGAGAGGGGAGAGTGGTCCATGCCCATCACCGTGCACGCCCCACAGCCGTATATAACACGTGCGTAGCATTCATTTTGTGGTTAGGATACCCCAGCTCGCGTGTGAGAGAGAGCACCCCGTGCACCCCGTGCACCCCTTGCACCCCTTGCACCCCGTGCACCCCTTGCATGAGAGGCCGCATGCGCTGCCCATGAGGGCAGCGGTGGAGAGGGGCGAGTGGACCATGCCCATCACTGTGCATATGATAAAAGCGATGTTTTCAGACGTCTCAAAACTTCACTTTTATCACGTGGCGAGTGGACCATGCCCATCACTGTGCGTGCGCTGCTTCCGGCAGCAACATAAGCGTAACATGTGTGCTGCCTTTCACTGGCACCGGTGGTATGGTATTTCCCAGCTAGGCTTGTAAGGGACGTGCCAATGGGGCTTTCATCTGGCCTTTCATTTCTGGTCATTCTACTTCCATGGCTTGCTTGCATCCATTCTGATAGCACTCCCTCCATCGTCAAAGAGACGACTTTTGAGTCGACTCAAAAGTCATTGGGAAAACACTCCCTCCATTGTCAAATTGCCCTTCCATTCCTCTTCATTCTCACCACTATTATCATCATATTCCCCATTTCCTCATCGTCATCTTGATATTAGCGTCCCGACAACTTTACCATTGCCCCTATTCTAAAATCCTCATCCTATCTTCAACCCTTCCCCAACATTGCCGTGCCAGCCATCAGCAACAGAGACAAGGCAGTCATGCCGCCTATGCTCCAGCAACAATCTGCCATGCTGAACACTGCTGCTGCTGGCCGTGGCATGGCTGGTGCACCTGTCCCTCCTTCAGCACCTCTCCCTCCTGCTGCTGTGCCGTAACCCGACTTCCGACTGAGGCACCTCAAAAGCCTTTAGCTCCTCTGTCCCCTGCTGCTGTGCTGTATCGGGACAACTAATCCATCTTCGTTTAGCGTTAATGACGCTTGTTTGTGAAAAAGTGACTGTCCTGATGCATGCATGGTGCTTAGAGGACACCAATGTAACATAACATCTGTCATTGAATCATATCCAGGCCCGACTGCTCCCAACCTTTTTGAAGCCTTCAGATTCCCCTTTGCCTCTAACCTTTCTCCCCACCCTACATGTGGTTACCCCTTTTCCTACCTGAATTCTCCTGCTCTTATGAATATCTATCTTTCCCCCCAGCCCGCTTTCTTCATCCCTGCCCTCTGTATCACTTCCTCATTAACGGTCTGCCTTTTAGTAACAGTGCAGCCCATGGCACTGACCCAACACAGGTTCGATCGAAGGAGCGCGTCTTAGTATGATTGTTGGCGCGGTCTTTGCCGAACCTGTGGAGAGGTTTCAGGGTACATTCCGCTCAGGACGTCAGAAAAAGTGTCACAAACGCATTTGTGACTAATTGTGAAACGCCGAAATTATATTTGTGACTAATTGTGATCCGCCGAAAATCATGATCAGAAGTATCCAACCACTCCTGATAAGACATCTGGCAAAATTGCGACTGTTCATGATTCGAATTTTCACAAAAAGTGTGCAGGAGCTGCTGCTAGCACTCCTGCTACGGCTTGCCTGGCACTGGATATGCGTACTCGCCTCGCCAGCTCAGCTGCCAGCTCAGCACACAGCACCGTTCTGGAGACACTGAGTGCAAGCCGATGCGAGAGAGCTGCTGACGTGGCAGCCCTGGGATGTATGGGCGTCTGGTTGGTTGGTCTTTTTTCCCACATTTTGAAAATGGGAGGGGCTGAGCCTTCGTGAAAGTGGGATGGGAGAGGGGAGCGAGGAAGGTAAGGTGGAGTGGGGAGGAGGCGATGTGAGAGGGAGGCGCGGATGGAGGCTGGGATTAGCTGAAGGAGGAATCGGCGAGAAGTGGTTGAGATTTCCTGCCAAGGGGGTGCGGGAAGGATAAGGTGTGAGGAGAAGGTGAAGAGAGAAGAAAGAGGGACTGGGATTTGGTGGAGGAGGAATCGGCAACAAGAGGTTGAGATTTTTTAATGGCAAAGAGACGAGAGAGACAAGACCGAACCACGGAGTGGATCGGATCAAAGTGGGTGGGAAAGGAATGAACGACGGAATAAAAAACGTTACCGCAAGGAGATAGGAAGAGCTGGCAACATGAAAAAATGTGAAAGAAAGGAGGACCATTGGCACAACATGAAAATCAGGAGGTGAAATGTGGTGCTGCCACATAAACGCTGTCTAGAGGATCATTAAGAAAATCAGAAATTTGAACACAGGATTTTAACAGAGCATGCTGTGTAGGAGAGCGGCTAAACTGGCAGCCTGGTGTCTGCTCCCCACCTGTCCTATTATATATAAATAAATGTATATGTATATATTTGAATCAAATTGATGTACGAAATTTAACACGCATATCATCAGTCGTGATTAAATGTCCTATTAATTGTGTTCCTGTTGCGGGCGACTTGGCAGGATCGAAAAGAAAGCAGCCCGAGCTGACGAAACGCTGGAGAGAAGATCGATAGAGCGAGCGGAAATGGAGTTAGCTCCTCACCTGTCCTATCAACCTGTTGCTCTGTAGTCGAGCTGTGGAGGACTCGGCAGGACTGGATGAGATGCAGTGAAGGCAGCCCGAGTTGTCGAAATACTCGAGAGCGGAGCGATAGAGCGAGCGGAAATGGTGGAAACCACCGGAGACAATTCTGCTGATCTGATGAGAAGATTCGGGAATCAGGTAAAGCGGAAGAAGGATAGGGAAAGAGTGGCTGGTTGAGATAGTTTGAAGATGGCACATGTGCTCAATTTGTTTGTACAATAAGATGTGCGTAACATGGCTGGTGACGGCATACAGAGTGCAGCACACACACATGTACCTTGTTGGGGTCTTCAGCTAGTGCCATGCGCACATCGCCTGCGTATGAAATGCAGCAAATCGCCTCATACAGCTCATGCTGATTTGGTGAGAGCAGATACGTGATAAGAAGAAAAAAAGGGGGGGAGGGGGTGGGATGAGGTGGGAAGGGGGTTAGGGAGAGGGGGGGGAGGAGAGGGGGAGGAGAGGGGGAGGAGAGGGAGAGGAGAGGGGGAGGAGAGGGGGAGGAGAGGGAGAGGAGAGGGGGAAGAGAGGGGGAGGAGGGGGAAGAGAGGGGGAAGGAGAGGGGAAGCAGAGGGGGGGGCGAGGTTGAGGCTGCTATGAGAAAGGGGTGGACATAAGCAGTGGAGGCCAAAGCAGTGGAACGTTTTCTTATCAAAACTATGTCATGGACGAAGTGAGAAGCCACAGCATGTGTCTGTCTGTCTCCGGTGGGAGTTTTTCTTGAGAGCACTTAGAATACGTTCAGTCAGTTGGAGTACCTCTGAGAATGTCTGGGGGAGAAGCAGCAGCGCCGCAGCTACAGCTGCTCGTAGGTTGTGTGATTGTAATGAGAGAATGTGATCATGAGGGATAAGAATCTCCACCTGCAGAACAAGATACCGAAATGTAAACGCAGCATTTATTGTTTAGTATCAAATTTCTCTTTAAAAAAAGAAAAGGCGATGCTAGAGAAAAACGTGACCAGACAGGGGTAGAGCTGGTGGGTAGCGCAGGTGCACAAAGTTGCTTCCGTGCAAGCTCACTTGTATGCATAATTGCTTGAGAGTGGTGCAAGGTGGAATGGATGAGAAGGGCATCTGTGCGAAGCGAAACGTGAGGAAAGTGCAAGGTGGAGTGGAGAAAAGAGAGTGGGGATGAAGGGAAGAAGGGTGGAAGGTGGAGTGAGACAGAATGCGAGGAAGAGACAGATGAGAAACCGGGGCAGGGGGAAACCGGCTCTTGAAAAGTGAGGGAATTGTACGGAGAATAGAGGGTGCAATGGGGAGTTGCAAGGAGGAAAGAGAGGTTGCAAGCGGGAAAGGAAGATTGCAAGGGGAAAGGAGGGTGTCGGGAAAGAGAGGTTGTGTGGACGAAGAGGGGAAAGAGGAGGGTTCAGGCAGGAGGGGAAAGGTACGGCAGGGAGCCCCACAGCAAAGCAGCAGTACAGGCTTGTGAAGGCGACCACTGATGTAGAGGTGCTGCCACGTGGCGAGGTCTGATTGCAGAGCCCTTGTTGCAATCACTCCGTACTTGACCTGCCAATGGGGGTTCAAGCGTGCAGAGTCTTGTGTATTCAAAGGAGACGAAACAATACGACACTTGCTAATCAGATCAGCGCTTTGGATCAAGTGTGGGCTACTTGATCCGATCAGCTGGCGGCATTTCTTCGAATACAACGGAGAGATATTTCATAAAGCACAGCACGTGTTCTAGTGCACCTGGTTGAGTGGCGAGTGCGACTCTTGAGTCAACTCAAAGCACCTGGTTGAGTGGTGAGTGCGGAACGAATGGATTGAAGTGCACTCCCACCCCCACCCTGTCTGCTGCAGCCACAACCTTACAAGAGTGGGAAGAGGGGGGTGGGTCGAAAGAAAGAGGTTGTGCAACAACAGCAGGAGAGAGATTGGTGCAACATGAATGCGGAATGAACGCTTTAGAGAGAGAAAAATGGCACAAGTTAAGGGTGGGGCGACAATGTGAAGTGAGGAAAACGGCTACGGATCAGAGCAGAATAAATGACACCGATGCGCATACACACATATGCACAAGCAACGGGGAACATGCAGCCTTCAGATCTTGAGTAGCCAGGGAAAGAATAATGAGGGCTTACAGCTCGGCTGCCGAATGTGGCGAGGAGGGACGAGTAATGGCCTCGGTTATGTCTCAAGTTCTGATGCGAGCATGGGATGGAGGAACATAAGACATGGACATGGTGAAATACAGCGGGGAAGGAAAGATGTAAAGAGGAGGGAGGAATTGTCGGGTCGATTATGTCTCAGGTTTTGACGCAACCACGGGGTGAGACGACATGGACATGGACATGCGCATAGTGATGGTGACATGCAGCGGGGAAGGGAACATGTGATAAGAGAATGGGCAGGAAGGGGACCCAAGGGAGTTTGGAAGCATCATAAGCACCACTGAAAAGACGAATACTAACACCAGGACGAGGAGGCCTGGAGTCACATCCGAGTAACATCAAATGCCGTTGATGCAACCAGAGATTAAAATGATCCAATGCCTCACCTCAGCATGCCAGGATAAGGGGTCATCAATGGCCAGGATGAAATCCACCATGGACGAAGATGATGGTGACGGAGGGATGGGGGAATGGGATGGATGCTCAGCATGCTGGAAGCCTGGCAGGCTTCTCCTGTAAGTTTTCCCACATTGAAAGCTGGAGATGCTGCCGAAACTGTTGCTGCTGCTGTTGCTGCTGCCACTCCTCTCGTCGCCACTTCCCGAATGTTCGGACTGATTGCTGCTAGTGCTGCTGCTGCGGGTTTCACAGCTACCGCTACCGTCATGGCTGCTGCTAACCCGGCTGTTGCAATCTTGCGGAGTGATACCTCGAGGGGTTTTCCTGTCGACTGGTGGCTGCTGGAAGACGCGCGAGCCATAGGCGAAGGCGAAGTCGACAGGCGGAAGGAGGTCCAAGAATCCAGTGAGCTGGGCTCGTGAGAGGGACGAAGGCGGATCAATCGCCGTTGGACGATCGGACGACAAAGAACGATTATTAGACGACATAGCTTGGATTTAAGCTAAATGGCACAGATCATGAATCACGTGTACTCGAGAATCTAATACTCGCTAAATTGGCCGATTCCGGCAATTCTGAAGTGCGGTCGTAGATCGCGGCTGAAGCGAGACTGTGTGCTACGCTGGAAAGTGAGTGGCGACAAATGCGGAAGGGAATCGCAGGAAAGCTTGAGGCAAAGTTGGAAGGGCAGCCATAAAGAGGAGGGGGATGTGGTGGATTGCCCCAGCAAATGGATGGTACACCTTCGGTTCATTTGAAAGTTCGGTTTGCTGGGCAGAGAAGTGAACTGGTCGCCACGTCACGAAGTCTCTGTCAAATACAGTAACTTAGTGCTACCTGAATCGAAGCGTGTCGGGAATTCACCGTACGATTAGGTGGTACGGTACACGCAAAACGCAACGCAAGCGAACTAAAATTGCCGTGAACAAAAACATTCAGCTCTTTCCCCCGAACACCTGTACGGAAATTGGAATTGCAAAAACGCGTTCGTAAAATGAAACAACCCGACGCAGACACAATATGGGAAGAAACAAGGAACCTTGGGAACTCTTCAAAAGCCCTCCAAAGATATATCGAAGAATCACCATTCTAGTCTTGCTCCGAACAACTGCATTCCCATATTGCTTGGGAGAAGCCTGCAAGAACACTCAGTTAGCGACTACCGCTTGCAGTTGAACAATTTGTGCTCGCGAGTTCTTCCGCCATTCGCATTCCTCCTTACGAGTTGCAACCATGATTGCTGGCGACTTTGTGAAGGACTTGGGGGCGTTGGTGATGGGTGAGGATGATGAGTTGGTCTAGGGTTGAGTAAAATCAACTAACCTGGAATAGATTCAGTCGTTCTTAATCCCAAATTGATTCGCAGTGACGCTTCTCCTTCCGCTCGCCATGTATGGCATGAGAGGAACGTCAACTATGAAGACAAGGCTGGCAGCAGCCCTTTCGATAATCATTCTCCTTGGCCTTTTCACCATGGTTTCCATGAGCCTAATGTATGCGAGCACACACAGAATTGACTACTCCCCAGCAGGTATGTTTATAGACATTTTTTCGCAGTATCGCGCTGTCGCAAGGTGACTTTATGTTACTTTCCGTCGCAGTCCACCTGGCTGCAGAACGTGATGAAGAATCAATCTGCGAAGAACGACTGGCGCCGAGCAAAGAGGGCCCTATTGTTGGAGTGGTTTCCGCGAACCACACTAACGACGGCGAAAGGCGGACTAGCGACGGTGGAAATACGGACCGACGACGACTTTATGGCGGTGGCGTATGGAAGAAGCAATACGAAGGAGCTAAGAAGTACCTAAAGATTGCTACGCGTGTGTGCTAAGTTATGGGGTACGGGAGAGAAGTTGGGAAGAAACGTGAAGAAGAATGGTGAAGATTTGACTAGGGGAGAAGAAGTGGATTGACGGGGAGGAAAGTGTGGGTCAACTGAGGCGTGTTCGACAAGTTTCTGAAATTCGGACTTGGGGGATGTTCGACGAAGTTGGGTTGGTTGCGTGTGCGACGCGACGTGAAACATGGGCAAGGGTTTGCTTGTGGGACACGTTTGGCTGTGTGCTTTGGTTAGGGTATAAATCTGTTTGTACTAGGCATTTGTAATCAACACAATTGCAACACAATTGGAATCCATCAATTGGAATTTGTGTTCAACTCTGATTGGTCGAAAGTTTCTAGTGCTGCAGTGAGATTTCCGTCATAGTTTCGTGAAGGCTGAGTCAAGCCTAGAGACTCGAATTTCATCCGTGAAAGGCCCGTCAAAGGCGCGTCAAGGTGCCGTGAAGTGCAGAATCTGCAGAACTCGAGTTTGGGGCCCGTGAAGGTCCTGTGAAAGCCCCGCGAAGGGAGCGTGAAGCTGAAATCGATCCGAGGGCCCGTCAGGGACCAACACCTATTGTGTCCGCAAAAGAATCATACTCTGATCAATATTGCGGGGCCAATGACTGGTCTTGGATGGTGGCGAGAAATACTTCGAGCGTTCTCAAATGACAGAATTTGAATTTTGGAGAGGGGGCTTCAGACTCATTGGACTGCTCGTTGGATGTGTTCCAGGTAATGTCTCCAAATGCGCTGAAGGTTTTCGACATGCTTTTGTGGTTGACATAGCTAACATCTCTTTTGTGATGACAGGTAGAGAAGTATGATGACGAAGATTTAATCAAGCTTCCAAGGCCTTACAAAGGAATACTCATTGTACGCGATCCAAGGTCCATCATTCTTGAACAATGGCTTTTGGGGCAATTGGAGTGCAGATCGCCTGGCCGTTTCCATGACGGATTCGGCTAAGTCAAAAGTCTTACAGACTCAGGTTAGCGCATAGTCATTTCGTGTGGACCTGTGTAGGGATTGGGAAGCGAAGGTGCAGAACCCTGACATTTTCTGTTGTGGTGCCTGCAGGGATTGGGAAGCGAAGGTGCAGAATCCTGACATTTTCTGTTGTGGTGCCTGCAGAGGATCTGCAGACTGACTAAGGAGGCAGGCATAAACTACATGATAGCTGCCCTAAGCGAGCAAGGTTGCAGCGGCCCCCTCCATTATGCTTGTGTTGCAACGAGCATTCCTGCTCGAGTAGCCATGACTGAAGGCTTGAGGTTGTTTAAGGTTCGTCACTTCAGTCGCCATGCTGTATAAAACTCTCGCATGCTCTTATCCCTTTTCAATGACTGTCACCCCATTTTTGTGGCGTGCCCTCCACCCTTTTTCCTAGTCCCTCCACCATTGTCCTGATGTGCTACTTTGCCTTTTTGCAGTATGAGGATCTTTGGAGCGAAAGATCCCTGAGTCTAACTAATCTGGGACTCTGGTATGGGCTTTAGGTAAGCCATCACATAAAATTTTCTAGACATTCAGAAGAAACCTCTGCTTTTACTTGCACTGACTACAGGGCTCTCAACTGGAACGTTTCATTAGCACTTCTAGGATCTGGACCATTGAGTACCGCTCGTTGATGCATGACTCAGGCATGCACCAAGTGCGCAAGCAAGATTCATGGAAAGAGGTGAATGCTCTTCATCATATTTTCTGCCGTTGCATTCTTTCTGTGTAAACTGAGATACCTTGCCGTTTGCAGCATTTTACTCCATTGAACGTGAAGTTATTCGAGAACTATTCTGGCAAACTTGCCAAGAAACTTGGATATTGAGTTATGCAGACAAAACTTCGCCAGAGATGAGTTGTGATTTGAAGTGCAACATACAGTATGCTTCTCAGTTGAGGTTGGACTGAGTGTCTTACAATTCGTTAAGAAGTGGTACGCTACATGGACGATTTGTTGCAACAATGAAGTGTAAAATCAGACTATAATGCAGTGGTGCTAATTGCCAGATATATTAGTAGTCCTCTGATCTATGCAGATGCAAGAGACAGCTTGATCAGCACATGATGTACAGTATTACAACTTGAATGGTTAAAGTCAGCAGCTAAAATAGTGACCTCCCCCTTCTAGTTGGGTCCACTAGAAAGCTCATGAAAATTTCCAGAAAGTTTGTTGTTGTTTTTTTTTTTCTCGATCAGAGCAAGTCCCCAAGTAGAGGCAAGCCCAACTTGGAGTTGTTTCCGATTCCTGATACAAGTCGCACGCAACATGCACAAAATTGTCGCAAGCTTGCTATAACATTTCCAATTCTCCCACCCATCCAAATCCACATCGAGCACAACATATGACAAATTTCACGAAGGAACCTGCCACCACACACACGACACACAAACGTTGAGCTAACATATAACAGAGTGATGCAATAGAGTATCAAACAGAAGAACGACGAGGTGACTCGAGAGGAGAGAAAAAGAAAGAGACAGGGGCCGACAGGAATTGTGACGCAACGGGAAGGGAGGGGGTATCGCGAGGGCAATTTACAGTACAAGGGGGGAGATCGCAGGCGACGGCAAAGGGAGGAAATCGCAACGGCGACTGAGATCGCTACGAGATCGCGTGGGAGATAGCGAGCGCGACGGGAAGAGGGGGGGAAATAGCGAGCGCGGCGGGGTGATGGGGGGAAATAGCGACGGCGCGAGACGTGATCGGAGATAGCGACGGCGCGAGACGTGCTTGCTGGCTTCGACGATGGCGCGAGACGTGACAGGAAGGGAGGCCGTGAGCGCGAAGGCGATGCGAAGACATGTGCACGTAAGCGCGATGGCGAGGGGAGGGAGGAACGTGAGCGCGATGCCAATGGGAGGGGAGGACGTGAGCGATAGGAGATAAATCGGGGAAGGCGACCGGATGGAGAGCGCGAAGGCGACGGGAGGGAGAGCGGACAGGCGACGGGAGGGAGAGCGCCAAGGCGAGGGGAGGGAGAGCAGACAGGCGAAGTGAGGGAGAGCCCGAAGGCGAGGGGAGGGAGAGCGGACTGGCGACGGGAGGGAGAGCGGACTGGCGACGGGAGGGAGAGCGGACAGGCGACGGGAGGGAGAGCGTGAAGGAGACGGGAGGGAGAGCGGACAGGCGACGGGAGGGAGAGGAGAATGAGTGGGCGACGGGGAGGGAGAGCGCGAAGGCAAGGGGAGGGAGAGCGGACAGGCGATGGGAAGGAGGATGGACAGGCGACGGGAGGGAGAGCGTGAAGGCGACGGGAGGGAGAGCGTGAAGGCGACAGGAGAGAGAGCGTGAAGGCGACGGGAGAGAGAGCGTGAAGGCGACGGGAGGGAGAGCGGACAGGCGATGGGAGGGAGGCGGACAGGCGACGGGAGGGAGAGCGCGAAGGCGACGGGAGGGAGAGCGAGAAGGCGAGGGGAGGGAGTGTGGACAGGCGACGTGAGGGAGAGCGGACAGGCGACGGAACCGTGAGGGCGAAGGCGACGGGAGGGAGAGCGCGAACGGGAGAGAAAGAGAGGGCGTCGGGAGGGGAGGGGGGAGAGCGAGGGCGACGGGGAGGGCGGAGAAAGAGAGGGCGACGGGGGGGGGGGGGACAGAGGACGAACGTCTGAAGGGTAGGGGAGATGGTGAAGGCAGACCAGAAACTACCACCGCACTTCTAGGTCACGTGTTACTACATCATGCACTAGTGGTATCGTAAGTCGATAGTTGACGCACTCGTCGATTATACCGAGCCTATGACAGAAACGCTCATGCTCACAGCTCTTGTTCTTCGTATACTATGCGAAAAACTAGTGACTGCAGGTTTCGGAAAAACTAGTTGTGAACCCCGGACCAGCTCGAAATTGAAGCTGGCCTGGCGATGGAAAACCATCGCCAGGGAACGGTCGTGCGGATGCAGCACGCAAAATGCGACAGCTGAAATGTGCAAGAAAGTTCATTTTGGCGGGAACCGAATCATTCCCATTTTGGCGAGAGCCAATCACACAAGTTCACTCTGCCCATACGATTCGTCTGAAACAGTGTTTGGCAGACTGGTTTCATTCTAGCTTGGCAACACCTTTTTCAAAAGGGACGGGGTTCACTATTTTAGCTGCTGGCTTTAAGGGCGGGGAAATAGGGGGAGAGTAGGGGCAAGGGGATAGTGAACACATGTAACCAGTCATATACGCAGAGCAAAACACGCATGGAAAAACTTACATGGTAAGGGAAGTGAACCAGAGGAGCATGCAGCACCATGCATCAACAACGAAGAGTCAAACATGGGAGGGAGGAACCCGACAAAAATTCTGAATTTTGTATGAGGATGTTATACGCCAAAAAGCTTCTCTGCGTTGAAGCGTGATACTATCCCACACACAGCAGCGCCTTGGATGATGCACTTGCGACATGACAAGTGGTTTTACATGAATCACATGAACCACACATCCATCACCAGAAAAAATCCGTAGGTCTGCTGTGTTTATTGTCATGCCTCCCATGTGCCCTCTCACAACATTTCTTGCGAGGAGGGGTATCGTAAGAGGCAGTCAGGCGAGATGGATGGAAGCACCACTACTGGAAACACATGGATTCAGCAATTTTTCCGTATAGGTTAAGCAGGTCGGATGCAACATCTAGCACAGAAAGCATGAGGAGGAACAAAACAACGGGTTGGAGGGACAACAAGAAAGAAATTCTACAAGGCCTACATGGAGCAGAATGGGTGGTGAGGCAAAAAGAAAAAATATAACAAGTGAAGCAAAAAAAAAAGTACATGAAAATATTGGTAACACGGCATCCCATGGAACAGGCTACAAAGGTGGCTGGTGGGGCACGTTTCAATGGTACTACTACATATGTGGATGATCAATGAGGGATGGTAAATGCCAAATAACATGAGGCATTCTCACTGTGTGTCAGACAGAGGCATGACTCACGAGGCCTGGAACATGGTATGTGACGTGTGGCATACCGATTCATCGCAGGTGGCAGCCATGCCACCTGGTGCCTTGGTCGACTGAAAATCTCCTGGTTCGCTCTCAGTGGGTGCAAGTCTGCACAGTGGTACAAATGTCCTGTATGTATGCGAGTGCCATTTTCCCAAGGATTGTAGAGGGAACATGAGCGGTGCAAGGGGGAGATGGAAGGACAAGACATACGGAAAGTAGTGAGGTTGAAATCAAGAAGGCCCCCGAACATAGAAACCTAGAAACGGGGGGAAGGGTGGGGTGGGAAGAGAGGAAGGAGGGTGTGGCGGAGTAAGATTTGGAGGGAGGAAGGTGGAATGACTGGGCCGGGGAGAGGAGGGGATGGGGGAGTGGGGGTGGTGCGGGGGGAAGCGGGGGGTGGGGAGAGAAGGGGGAAGGGGGGGGGGTAAGGTTGGCAAGCAAATGAATGGCTGGGTTCGCTTGTGAAAGGGATAAAACTATGGAATGAAGAAAGGCTGCACAGGTGTTGAAAAAATGGACTCTTAAACGGATCAAAGCCATGATGAGCTGGGCCTATGCTTTCCGCAACCCAGAAGCTACACCCTGAACTAAAGCATCAGAGAAGAATCTGGCTCAATCTGCGCACCCGCAACTGCATGCACACACCTCCTCGCCCACGCACTTCAACATGCATGCGCGCACGAATGTCTAGCGTAAGACACACGCACCTGCACGGCTCGCACACAGTACGCTCGATACAGCGAAACATCTCGTCAACTTAAGAAAAAACGGTTGAAGGAATCGGAGCTTGTGGTCGCCAGTTGTAGCACGTTGGTTCGAGAGGATGGTGAACACGTTCAGAGCTTCTCTAAACGGTAGACGCGCATTCGGCCATTGGCCCGCGCTTTGCTGCTACTGGCCCGAGCCTTCGTTCTGGTCCACAATTCGCATCTATTGACGGTAGCTGCTGATTCGCGACGACGGCTTACCGAGCAACAACGCAAAAAACATAGTGTTGTACGAGAAAGCCATATCTCACGAGAAATGAAATGGAATTCGAAATCGGCTTTGGTAGTTACATCCGCTGCTGGCTGCATTCCGAAGCAGAATGTCCCGTCGGCCACCACGGATAACTATTGAACCCTAGGCATCTTATGGAGGTTGGTAGAAAGGGCGTGTTCTATGTCGCGACACCCAAGTCTAACTTTGGTGCAAATTTCGCAAATAGGTTTGTGTCTGGTGTTGATCGGGGATGCAGTACGGCACGTGGTAACAAAATGTGAGGATTGAAATGGCCTTTTCGATTCAGGCTTCGTACGAAATCTTGCAATATTTTCGACCTGGTGTTGCGTCCTGACCATCCCATCCCACCTGCTCCACTCTCCTCACTCTCACTTCAGCCTGAGTAATTCCTTAGATGCGTGTAGACTGGCGTGCTGCTCTTATCCTTCAACTTTTCCTTCACTTCTCACTCGCGGAGTACGCTGTTTAAATTCATGGAGTCGCCTTCCTCTGAGGGTCCTGCGTTCTGGAAACTGCTGGGTCTATATGCTAGGTTTTTGCAGAAGCACGACCCTGAGCGGCTACTGCAAACTGTTCTTCCTACTCTCGACGACCGTAATTTCTTCGAAACTTGCAACGATTTGCAAGCTTTCCATGAGATTGCGGAAGTCCTTATTTCAACAAACGTTGAGCTCCCAGATGCCATTCGTCAGGCGATGGCGGAGGGACTGATCGAACGATCGCTAGATCCATCTCTAACATCTCATAGAAATGAACGGTTTGTTCGCCTGACAACAGCTTGTTTTCGCACGGCAAAGGAATGCCTTCACAACAAACTGGAGGCCGTGGTAGAGTTAGTGGACAAGGCGATGTGTTCCCGTCTAAGGGAGCGGGGTTTCACCCTTCAGGATGGCATTTCTATGGAGGAGATGCTTCTTGCGATTCACTCCCAGCCGCACTTGGACAAGGTTTGAAATTCACGGAAATTTCAAGAGGAACTTGGTGAGTGCTGTCACGTCTGAACACTTTGACCTCTGCTTTGCAGTTCGTTTGTGAAAGGCCTTTCTATGCGTCTAAAAAAGGACGGCTCGAGGGCATTCTGGAGTCATTGCTGCAGTCGCCGTCATCCCGTTTGCGTCAGCAAGCACTGAACTTGATAGGCGCTTGCTGCTTTTCTTCCTTCAACGCCTTCCTCCAGCTGCAGTCAATTCTTGACACGTCCTTGGAGTTGGAGGATTTTGAAATACGACTTCACGCCTTAAAAGTCAAACTTGATGTTATCTTTCTTTACCATGACAAGTTCCCAGTTCTTGAAGTCCAGCGAGCATGCTTGTCTCACTTTTTTTCGCCATCCGTGAAGATGCAAGCGGTGGCTGTGGTTGGCATTGGAAGACTGCTGCTTCATGACTGCTTTGAAGATGTAGAGCCTTTGTTGTCGGAAATGTTGGAGAGATTTGTCTACAAGCCGCCAGAGAAAATCAGGTAAGTCCGCTGCTCGGTCCTCCTCTTTATGCAGCATGACTCAAGGGTGTGTTGGTGTTCTGCAGTGAGGATAAAAATGCCAAGGTCACACGAATCCTTTGCATGTTTTTCCTAGAATATTCAGCAGAGAAAAGTAAACACCAGGATGAAATCTGCAACACAGTGGTGTACAAGACCCTTGAGGAGATGAGAAAGGGTTGCTTGGTGGTCTTACCCAATGGCAAGGTGGGGCACGGTGTGAAAAATGGAGACTCCATGCGCTATCGTGAGTTCTGTTTGGCTATAAAGTTCGCTCTTTCCTTCTGTGGGGATATGACATCAGCTATAGCTGAAAGTCTTAGTGTCAACATGCCAGTCTATCAGGGAAAATCCATGTCTAAGCAAGTGTTCAGCTCATGGCTAACTGCACTTTGATGGAATAGTGAAAGCCACACAGTATTATCCATTTTTGTGCCACTGCGTGCCATGCTATGGCATATTGTTTCAGTCACCTGGAAGCAATGCACAAGGGATCTTGAAGTATTGGAACTTAAACAACCTCAATAGGTTCTCTTGTTGCTGTGCTGACAGACCGTACTTGGATTTTGCATCTGCTGGATTGCCATGTCATGTTAGCACATGAAGCTGAACTGCCGGCATGTAAAACACCACGACTTATTTCCATGAGACAGATTAGTTACTAAACAAGGGAGCAGAGCTTGGTGCGGCTTCACTCGAAGCCCTTCGCTGTTCTCCTACTTGAAGATACCTTTTCCTGAAGACGGCATCATTGCACGGAAGAAACTGTGATAAACACACCACTTTCCGCTCCCTCTTCCCAAACCCAGTCACAAACTCCTTTGCACCAGCTTCAGCCTCCGTATCACCACTCCTACTCCCAAGCACCTCCTCATGCGACTTCACCACGTAACCATTCTTCTTTAGCGCCAGGTGTCGAGGCTTGATTCGTCGGTTCAAACCAAGTGTCAGAAAAGTGGGGAATCTAAGAAGCTCAACGACTGACAGCTTCATGTTGTGCTGCAGGTAGTGCAGCTTTGGGGCAATGTTGAGCTGCCAGTTGTAGAAAAGAGCATATGGCCAGAAGGTGACAAACTGGAATACAACGTGCCTTGCTGCTGAATCTTGAAGCAGCCCGCTGCTTAGCTCCTTCCCCTCCTTCCCCTCCTCGGTCTGCTTCCCCTTCTTCCCCTGCTTCCTCTCCCCTCCCTTCCCTCACTTCCTTCTCCATGGTTTTTCTCCTCTGAATTCTGCTCCCCGTATGCAGTCAAGTCACCAAGATTCCACCTGAGCCCGTCGGGTAGTCTCTTCACTCCTTGAAACACAGTACACCACTCGCCAAAATTCTTCTCAAGTGAAGCAGAGCTCGCATTTAGCACCGGCGGGAACCGTTCTATAATTTTATTCACCAGGCCCGCCCCTAGCATCCTTCCCAGGAGCTCAATCTTCGGCTCGAGATTCCGCGCGTTTTTTGTCAAAACCATGGGCAACTTAAGCAGCACCAATCCTGGTGGTCGCATCTTCGCTCAACAACCCCTTTAAAAACTGCATCGTTTCTGCCATAGTTGTGCTGGGAAGGCAGAGCAGCCGGGGGGAAAGCAGCAGCACCGTTCCCAACATTTCCTCCTCAACCCCCGCAGATCTCAGAAACAAGACTGACTCCTGTAACCCAGCCAAAGACGACCGTAACCACCCAGCATCCAGCACGATCAGCTTGGCAATGTCGCTAGAAGAAACGCCTTGAGACTTCAGAAACGAGATTTTCTGGTGGAGGTGGGAGAGGGGTTGCGGTTTGAGGAAGGCCGGACAGGAGGCGATGATGCCAGCCACAACGGCGGGGTCGTGAATGCCGAGAGAGGAGAAAAAATCGTAAAGGTTTATGAGGGTCCCGTGGGTTGTGGTGCGCCTGGGTCGACCTCGACGTGACTTGGGATGGTCGCTGGTGCTGTTGGTGTCAGTAATGGTATCACTGCTGTCGCGGCTGCTGGTAATGGTGGTGGTGGTGGTGGCGCTGCTGCTGCCGATTCTGCTGCTGCCGCTGCTGCCGGTATCACCTAAGCTGCTGACTATGCTTCTATCCATGCTCCCCTCCTGACTGGCCTCCTCATCTTCTCCAACCTTGGTCCCTCGCCCATCATTCCCAGTCCCTTCCCATATAGTCACACTCAAACTTTCATCTCCCTCGTCCAGCCTCATCAGGTCCAGACCGAACTTGTCGCACAGAATCTCTTCAATGACATTCACAGCCTCGCTGACATCAACTGGGCCTCTCTAAAATTCCGAACCTCCAGTCTCTCCAGTCACTCTTTTTCGGCTTTCTTGCCTTTCTGGACTTTCTCCTCACTCTACTCTCTACAATCTCTAGACATTCTCTCATCGCTCTGGACATTCCAAACGCCTCTCCCTCGGGATTTCCAAGTCAGAAGCTCTCAGGCTCAGAAAACCGAACCTCTGACGAACCTAAACTCCGAACCTCAGTCGATGACGCCATGCAGTGATGGCGGTGGAGAGCATCCTGCGCGTCGTGCACATCTGCCGCTCTTACAGCAACACACAGGTGTTGCTACTTAACAAGTTTTTGCTGTGCGAGTGATCTGTGGGTGGGCAGGTGTGGAGGCCCTGAGGGTCGAGTTGTGGACTTTGTAGAGCGATGTATGGGTTAAGCCACTGATTAGCAAGAACAGCATGGGGAAAATGCACGCTATGGGAACCAGCATCCGTACTGGGCTCTGTAGATATAGAGACATTGAGCGAAAGGATGGCCGTGATGTTGTCAGCGCATGCTAACCCGGTAGCCTAGGCATTGAGATGAGAGTTGCTAATGCGAATACGGTTATTCGTGATACTTTTAGATAGGCGTGATGGTGGGGGTGCACTAAGTATTTCTAATTTACGTGGTATGGAGGTGGAGTATACTGTATCGCGAACGCGCGATGGTTGACATAATGCGAGCTACAGTACTCAAGTTGGTGCCCACAGTTTGTTTTCTGGGTACAGGTATCTGGCGGGAACGAGAGGCGGGGAGGGAAAAGGTGTTCGGATGTGGAGTGGTTGCAATCCGAACGGTCTGCACCCATTGGTGCGTAGTTCCGTACCATTAGTGGATACAGTTGGTGGTTGTTACTTGTGCGATTGCGATTTGGGCACGGGTGTTCGATGAGGCGCTGAGGTGGCGCAATAGTGGCCACGGGCGCCGTTCTCAACTACCAAGGGTTTGATGCTGTAGGCTGTTTAAGGGGAATGTGTAGGGAGGGTGACCCTGTTTGTGTTTCAGCATACTCTCGACAT